TTTATATATTAACCGGTTATTAACCGGTTAGCCTCATTACAAATTAACCGGTTAATTAACCGATTAATTAACCGACTATTAACCGGTTAGACGCTCTAATTAACCGGTTATTAACCGGTTAAGCTTTTTTTTGACGGTTCCAATCCCTACTCAATGTAGGATAATTAAAAATTCCATATTACAATCAATAGTTCATTTACAGAAAATTTTAATAAATAAAAATTATTTATCTTTATTTAAATCATTATTATCATCAAATATATATAATTGTTCAAATACTTTAAATACAATAACTTTAGGTTTAATAGCAAGTATCACAAATATTATTATTTGAAATATTGTAAAAATATAAAATTAGTTTTGATTTTTATACAATTGGAAGTCAGTTTACGTACCAAAAATTATATTTAATTGAAAATATTAATGTACAGTCCATGGTGATCGAACTGAATATAGTTCACTAATATTACAAAATTTAGGACAAATTCTTCCTCCTAAATTAAAATATTTACATTTGAAACTTTACCACATTGAAGAAGTATTTCAAAAGAATTCTCAAAATACCTTTATTAAGAAATTATTAATCTGTTATTACTTTAATGACCAAAGTATTTTACCCTCTATAAAAGAATATATTATGAAAAAGAAAAGGGTTAAGTATTTGGCTATTAAAAAATTTAATTTTGTGAAAACTTATGATGATGAATTGTTTTGATTTTAAAGATGAAGTGAAGAGATTTGGGTTGTATAATATTAAAGTGCAAAATTTTGATAGATTAAAGATTACTGCGTATGATTATATTATAATTAATCATTAAGTAGTATTTTAAATGAAGTTGCTTGTAAATTTACTCAATCTAAATAAAATATACATTTATTGATTGTTGATGATCAATGATTTTATCAATCAAAAAATCTGAAATTTGGTGATACTACAATTTGATATTATGCGAATTACGCTTATTCTATTATACATCTACTATCACAAAAAACAACACCTATTGTGAAATGTACCATGTATTTTTGCATTCCGTTCTTGAACCCAAAATTTACAAAAAAGAAAATATCAAGAAATGTTTATAAATCTTTCTATTAATAACATTAAAAAATATAAAATTCTTCAACACTTATTATATTATATATTACTTATATGTATATTATATAATATATCTTTATATATCACATTATTACAAATAAATATTATTTAATTATCTAATTACAAATTATTATGACTCATATTACAGTTTTATCGTGAAATTTATCATCGGATCAAAGACATTTTTCTATTAAAAATTCACAAGTTGAGCCACTTAAAAATATTGAGTCATCCTTTGAGTCATCCAATAACATGTATAAAAAAATTATATATATATATCCATACATACATACAAAATTTTCTTTTTTTTTTTACCAATACCTGTACGAAAAAGATATAATAAAAAAATACCTCGCACAGAGCAACAAAAATCGATTTTTATTTTTTTTGTTGCTCTTTATTCTACTTTTTTTCCATATTACTATATACCCAAATTTTTTAAAAAAATATCAACACAAAATGCAAGAAGAAATTTTTAAAATATGTCGTCCTGGAATTGTGGCAAACTTTATATATAAAGTTGTAGAACTTGCTACTTATACTTCCGATTTTGCCACTGATGCTATAAATATATTAACTGAGAATACATTAAATACTGGAGTTCATTCAACGAGACAAAATTATATCGATGATGATGAAAATGTCTATGATCATAAGAAAAAAGATGTTTCTACTTGGGATGAAAATGTAGAAACCGTTGAAGATGAAGAACCTCCTCCACCTTACGATAATTCTACTGAAACTAAACCTTCACTCATAATTTCTACATCTCCCTCACAACAGGATTATCCAACTACTCAGTCTGAAACTAAACCTTCATTTACAATTTCTACATCACCCTCACAACAAGATTATCCAACTACTCAGACTGATAAACCTTCTCTTACAATTTCTACATCACCTCCGCAACAAAATTACCCAACTACTCAATCAACACCAACACATTCACCAACAAATTCAACTTCACGAAGAAGACAATTCCGTGTTCGTCGTGGCCGTAGATTTGTACATCACAAATCATCTTCAAAAATGAGTAATAATTTCAATAATACATCCGATAATAATGTTGAAGAAGAAGAAGAAGAAGATATTATCCTTAAAAGACTTAATAGTAAAATATCTGTTATGATAGCCGAAGCTGAAGCTGCTTTAAATAGTAAGGTTGAAGTTACAGAACTTGAAATGATGCTTGCTGAGGAAAAAGAACGCGATGAACGAATTATGAAAGAATTTGGCATTAAAACTCTTAATGTTCATAATTACAATTACAATAATTACAATATCAATTATAATAACAATTACAATTACTTTTACTGAATTCTTTTAAAAAATTTATAACGAAGAATAAAGATACAATTAGGAGGCGTAAAAGTCGGAAAAAATTCAGATACACAAAATTACTCATTATCAAGATTAACCTTTTTATAATTAAAAGCAGCATCAAATTTTAATTCATTCAAAAGAAAATCAACTTTCTCATCGGATCCGGTAGACCCAACAACTCTCATTCCTTTAATTTTAGCTATTTGACCAACGAGTTGTCCAGTAAGACCAGCAGCAGTCTAAAATAATTGGTAATTTTATTTTAAGCACCTTTTTAAAAAGAATGTAAGTAAATATATCAATGGAAAGTAAATAGTTATTCCGATAAATCAAGTGATATGACATTGTATGGTATTGGTCGGACGATGATATCTATGAATGTATAAGAGATGTAGGTTATGTGGAAAAAATTACTGTCAAACAATGTTATAAATATAAGATGGTCAGAGCTAAGCTGCGCTTTACCAAAGAGTACGAAAATACGTACAAGCGATGTGGAGCTAATATCACAATTATAAGGAACGGTCGTCAATATTTCTTTAGAAAGTTCGACCCTGATTTAAGTCCACAAGAATTAAGAAATAGATACGGATGGCAAGCATGTAAAAAAATTTCAATTGAAAGTAATGCAACAGACGGTGAAATTTTTAAAGAAAATATTACGAAATATGGAGGATTTTTCGGAAAAGTTAACAAAATTAGATATATCTTAATATACTTTAATAAATGATGATACAAATCGGGAATGGAAGATGATATGGGGAAGGGCTACAATTGAAAAGTCAAGACGAACTTATAGGGAAGGGCGATAGTTTTAGGATAAGGAAGATCTAAATGAACTCAAACAATAATGTATCGAAAAAGTCGGAAGACGAACAATTTATGGTACAAGGGATAGTCTAACGGATCCGAAGGAATATTTTAATGATAAGAACATATAAAGTATCAAAGGAAAAAAAAAGAAACGTGTCGCGCAAAATCAGGTTACTCGGAGGATTGTGAAAGTGACGAGACAGATACTTTATTGATACAATGTATTTACTTACGTTGACATTGGGGTTGATTAAATTTTTAATTTTCCCCAATACTAAAAAAAATAATGATTATACAAAAGTATTTAATTTTCGTGGTGTGTTACAGTATGTACTATGATTTTGATTTATTAAACGCTCATAATGAATTTATATTATAACTCCAGTAAGAATTAATTGTTAACATAAAACATCATCAACCATAAGAGATTTTTTTATTAAGAGCCCGTTGAGATAAAATCCTTTTTAATAGAGTAGAGTCCGTTGAAATATTTGAAACAAATATTTCAGAAAAAAGGCGCAGTAAATTACTTACGAAAGGATGATTGTTAAAACACGATTTAAACACGTGATAATTTTCCAGTCGTTGCGACATTTGTCAAATATTTTTTTTTTACTACGTGAAAATTAAAATTTTCTAAGTATAAACAAAAATGGCCACACTAGATACTGCTTATGTATATACTGTATGCCACGCAAATTAATAAATCCGCAGTATTATGATTTATTGAATATTTTGGTACCAAAAATATTAAAATATGATGTAATTGTGAAAGGCTAGTATAGCGTCTAATACTTCCTCTTTTATTAAAGTTAAAGAAACTTCCGTATAAACCTTATTCATTAACTTCATCAAATTCTATAAGTCTATAACTTTATATCTTAATCCTTATTCTCCTTTTTTATATCTGTTGTTTTCCTTTTTATTACCCTTTTTTTAATAATAAAGTACGTGTAAGACAATTCATTTCACTTACAAATGTAAATTTCAATAACTTTCCTATTTAATTATTTACAAAATAATAATAAAAAATTTTTTTATGTTGCAAACCTTAACTTTATTTTAAGTATTGATTTTCGTTATTGAATTGGTATACAAAATACTAGCAAAATAACAAAATATGACAAATAAACATTATTAAGCAATTAAGTAATTAATTTCTAGAAAAATTATTAAAAAAATTACATATGATAAGCAAGATTTGTAACCTTATTTTTTGTAATTGTAGATCCAGTCCCATTTTCACAATCAATAAATAACTCCGATATGGTAAAATTCTTTTTTTCTTGTATACTAATTTTAGAAAATCACCAATTTCAATCGGTGAAAGGTATTGAAATTTTTCCGATTAGAATTGTTTAAACCGTTAAGGATAACAACGATCGATCAATAAAAAGTTTATAATAAATTACCGAAAATAATCATCTGGACCATGTGCGCAAATTGTGTAACCTGGGAACAAATCCGGCTGCCATTTTTTTTTTGGGTCGTAAAGAAAAAAAATTTCCATTAATTTTAATTTATAATTAATTATTTACCCTCTTCTTTATTTGCCAAAATAAGTTTTCTAAATTTTTAACTGAAAATTTAGTAATTTATTACAAAATCCGTCACAATACCCGACTCATTATAATAGACCATTATTTTGTAAACCTACCAACATGAGAAATTTGTTATTAAAAAGCGGGTTCGTTAAGATTTTCAAGTTCTCATAGATTACATAATAAGAATGTAATAACATACTGTTTAGACTTATGATCTTTATCGTTTTTTTCTGTAATCTTTTTTTCGTTTTTCATATTTTTCCATTTATTTCACTGGAGATTCGTTCGTGATGCGAGGTGTGACAATCACCACGGGCAATAACATTTCGTATTTAAAATTAAAATTGGCATTTTAAGTTCGATAAACTGGTAAAAAGGCTTCAGCATTTTGCCTTATTCTTTCAAACTGTTATTACGTCTTATATGTCATATTATTCATTGTATTATTACGAATCTTGCCAATATTAAATCACAAAACTTTTATTATATGTGCAATGTAAGAAAAGGACATCAAGTTTACTTATTAGATCATAGATTGTTTACAAATTAATTTATCATCAATTCGCAATTAAGATATTTAAACGAAGATATTTTAAATCACATGACTTTTGTTATGTGTGTAGCGTAGATTTTTAAAAAATTGCTTGGCCCTCCTAATATTATTAAATTAATATGAACGAGTAATTTACATGGTGTATTATCGCTACATGTCCTTTGGATTTTGTAACTTCAGCGAATGTAATAATTAGAACAAGATGTAACGATTACATAATTGGCATACGTCCTAAATTCAGTCACGTGTTTGTAAAAATATTGTTCACCCCCACCACTTTATAAGTATTTTGATTAGTAAAATGTCTGTCACTCTAAACATCACATTCATATTATCATGTGACTTTGGCCCAATAAGATCTCAAACGAGTTGCAAAAAATTGATTAAGAATTTAATTACGTCACAAAAACCACCATTATCGTTTAATTTAAAATTATAACTAACCAATCAAAAACTCTCTCCTTTTAAATAATAAATAAATGATTTTGAGAAACTATTTCGTAGTTGAAAAAGAAAATATTTGAATTATTTACAAGAAAAGTATTTAGACCATTATGAAAAAGTTCATAGGACAAGACTTTTATCAATTATTATATTATAATAAGTAATTATTTATCAAAATAATACATCAAGAAATTTTAACGATGCATTATTTATTATTTGGATGCTAATCATTTCTTTCACAATCAACAAATTATTATTCGATATGACAATATTTAAAAAAAAAAAAAAAATTGTAGTGATCTTCACATTTTTAATGTAAAAGATAATGATTTCTGCAGATATAAAAATGAGATATTATTATTAAGATAAAATATTTTTAACATATAAATTATTTTAGATATTCACAACGATGATAGTATTATAGACAATGCAGATAAATTTTTTAAATAACTCGGCTAAGGCTTAAGATTATCCGATATAGAGGCCTGCAATTGGTCGCTCGGACCCGGATATCCGGGCGACATATATATTTATATCAATTCCAGCCCACAATTCGTCATATACAATATATTAAATATTTATTATCCTGACCGACTCGGCCGTATTTCAGGCCTTCTCTTTCTTTTTTAAATAATTTATAATTATTTTCTAATTCAATAATGCATGCAAGATATAAATAATAAAACTATTGTATGTTTCATATTCATTGTTATAAAGTAATTTGCATAAACAAACAATAAAAAAGTTATTATTCAAAATTAATTCACAAAGGTGTACAAGTAAACATATATATGTACATACGTATATATATATATATATACACATATATATATATAGATCGTAAATTACTCAAAATTTTTAATTCCATTGTTGAATGAAATTTTGTATGTAAAAATATAAAATAAAAGGTTTTATAATCTTAGAATAGAAATGATTTGCTAAAGAAAGAAATTGGCGCAATTTTACAAACGCTGATCCTTGATCGCGGAAACTTACTTACGAAATAGAATATAAATTGTTTAAAAGTCCTATTCTGAAATTTTTCATGCTTTTTTTTTTATCAAATTCAAAAATTTTTTTTATTATTAATCCAATATTATTGATTGAATTCGTAATTAATTTTCATTATGTCTAATATTCGATATGAATTGATTTATGAATTGTGTTTGAAAGCACATATGTCATTTGATTATAATATTTACAATGATATACACAAACGAAATAAATTTCATGAACAATTATTTTTATCTAATAAATCTCTTACAGATGATGAAAAAACTAAATTAATAAAAATATTATGTCAATTTTATGATCGAAATAATATTATTTATAATTCAGGAACAAAAAGAGTTTGTGAAAATTGTAATCAAGAATGTTTAGCTACATCATTTTGTGAATATTGTGTTCGAAATTATTTAAAAGAAAATTTTTTAAATTGGACATCTGGAAATGATGATATTGATAATTTAATACAAAAATGTCAAATGGAAACTTTCATGCCGAATAAAGTAATTGAATGGATTCCATATAATAATTTTAAAAACTTTAATTATCTTACAAAAGGTGGATTCTCCGAAATTTACACTGCAGATTGGATTGATGGATATTATGAAGAATGGGATTTTAAAAATCAACAATTAGTAAGAAATGGAACTCAAGAAGTTATACTTAAGAGATTAGATGATGCTGAAAGTATAAATCGAAATTGGTTTGAAGAGGTTTGTTATCTAATTTCATTTAAAATTAAATACATTTTATATTTTACTGTATAATAAAAGTTTTAAATTTTATAGGCTAAATCCCATTTAACTATAGGAAATAAATGGGTAGATATTGTCCGTTGTTTTGGTTTGACACAAGATCCATTAAATGGAAATTACATGCTTGTAATGAGAAAAATGGATATGGATTTAAGAAAATATTTACAACAAAAACATAGTCAACTTACATGGAAAGAAAGGATTAAGATTATTTCTGAAATAATCAATGCACTTTATAGAATCGTTAAAGAAAATGCCATTCACAGAGATTTACATTCAGGAAATATTTTGTATTTACGAGTTCTTGATTGTTGGCTTATTGGTGATCTTGGATTTTGTGGACCTGCTGATAAATCATCAAAGTGTATATATGGAAATCTTCCTTATATAGCACCTGAATTAATTGCTGGAAGTGAACACACTTTTGCATCTGATATATATAGTATTGCAATGCTTATGTGGGAAGTCTCATCTGGGCAACCACCATTTATAAATTATGAACATGATTATAGTCTAGCAATGAAGATTATTAACGGCATGAGACCAAAAATTGTGCCAGAAACTCCTTTAGAATATAAACTACTAATGAAACAATGTTGGGATGCTGATCCATTAAAAAGACCTAATATAAAAACGCTTAGGAAGCAGATAAAAGAAATTTATTTATCATATCAAAATATGGAAAATGAATTATTACAACCAATAGTATATAAACCTAATGGTTTAGAAACAAATTCTACAAATAGCAGATTGATTTCAAGTAATATTCATAGATTTGAAAATTTACCCGAACCAAAGAATGCGACAGAAGGTATAGTTTCTTACTATCTATTATAAATTTTTTTTTTAATATGCAATATATTATGCAGTATATTAATATTTTTGTTTTAATTTTTTTAATTTAATAATAATAGAAGAACAAGAAGGTATGTAATGGTATTTTTTATTTATGATTGTTAAATATTATTGATATAACTTTTAAAACAATATTATATTAATAGTATTCTATAGTAAATCATATGGTTTTAAGATTCCTGATAATAGTAAGTAATTATTAATATTTTTAAAATTGTACAATAAAATGTATAATGATCGACTTACGCTTGCTTTCTTGTTTTAGTTAATGAATTTAATAAGTCAGATATTCAGAATGTGGATATTTCTATTAAAGGTAATTAATTCTATTTATTCATCAAATTAATACAAACATTAATGATTAATTTGTATGTTGATTTTAGTTAATAGTAAAAAATTGTCCAACAAAATATTTGAAATGTCACAAGTAAATCTAAATTATGGTAAATATAATTTTATATCATTTAAAGAAATTACAAGTAACAATGAACTTTATTAAAATATTCAATGATTTTTTTTTTTTTGAAATAAAAGATATTCGAGATTATTATAAAAAAGAAGCAATACAACAAATACAACAAATAAAAAGAGCGAATATTAATATTAATATTAATGGTATGTGAAAATGTTATATCAAAATTTTTATTTAAAATTTGTATTATTTATAATTTAACAAATATATTTTATAGACGAGAATGAAATATATAATAATCCAAATCTTCATTCAAAAGAACAAAATATATTGGAAATTCCTGATGGTAAGTATTTTTTTTTTGATACTGTTTCTAAAAGTAATAATTAAACTTATTATTAATTTGTATTTTATTCATTTTTTCAGAATTATTTTAAATTGTATTAAAGATTGACTTTTTTTTAGTTTTTATTAATTATTTATAGAATTATTATTAGTCATTAGTATGTTTACAAATTTTTAGTTTGTAGCTTTCCTTTAGGTCAGGTACAATTTTAACATGCAAATTTGTAAGAGTCTATTACGTTCAGCAAAAAAATTTAACCGGTTTCTGGAATTCTGATAAAAGAATTGCGGCAATTATCACGAGTCTGCTTTTTTTTGGCTGGATCTACATAGTTTCTATTGGTTATTCAATGATTGGTTAAAGATAAATGTTAATCCTATCTTTTCGGACATCTCATAATAAACGTATTTTCTTCTATCATAATCATATACTTTGTGGATCACTATTAACCACATAAACTTCAAAAATAAACTACATACTGAAAATAAATATTGAACTGCGCCACTAATCTAATTATAATACTAGTAAAATTTGATCTTACAGTCAAGGATTTCTATATCAAGTTATCCTATTGGATAGTATCCGCATAACATCCAGATTAATCTGTTAATTTCGCGGATATTTAACGGTTGTTTTACAGCTGATTCCATAATATACGGGATACCCATAATTTTTACTCCATGGACTCCATGGCGAGAGAAACTCGGTAAGATTCGGTATAACTTAAAAACTACACCAATGTGCTGACCAGTGCTCCGAATCTAACAATATGGTTTTTACCTTATTCTGAACTTTACCGAGTTTTACCAAATGTACCGAGCTGTCTCTCGGTATGTGACTAGGTATGAAATCAGCTGTAATGGTTTTTTGGCGGATAATATCATGTATTTTCTTGCATCTTATTATGAAATTCAAAATTAATATTATTTATTTTTTACTATATTATTTTGTCATAAATTGAGTATCAACTGGAGGATGAATCATAATAAAATTATGATAAAATTTTGGAAGAATACCTCACGATCAAACAATTCAAGTTTGATTCTTGATCTCTTAACAGTCAAAAGATTAGGATAAAAAGGATGTAATTTTACTTTGACAGTTTGGCATTTGAAATGTAAACGTTTAAAAATAAATGGAGTTTTGCGATTTTATGGTAATCAATAAGACAATAAACTTAAATAAATTCAATAAATAGATAGTATATTTGGATCACATCCGGATAACCGTTATGGTAGGAAAATCCGGATATCCGGGTGTGTTAGATCTGGATACAAATCACTACTGAGGCATAACGTGAATGCAGCCCAGTAAAAAAAATCGATCCGTTTTTTATATTCCATCTTCTTATCTTCTTTCCGTAAAAGGCTCACGTTTACGGAATTAGTAACCGAATTATTTTCATTTCCATGAAAGGCTCATTTTTACGGAGTTTTGCAGATACTGCAAAGCCTACGCCCGTGAAAAATCACGTTGCCATTGCGGCTTTAACAAAAATAATCCTTTATTAATAATATAAGATTACACAAATATAATAATATAATGCTTGGTTTAATAATATTTCTAAATAAAGTAATTCATAATAAATGTTAATGTAAATATAAAATCCCAAATTAATTCAGTCTAAAAATACGTCTTTACGGTGTACCGTTTGAACGAAAAGTGCCAAAATTTCGAAAAATTGATTTTTCGATTTTTGAATTTTCAAAATCTCCTTATAAGGAGATTCTCCTTATAAGGAAAATCTCCTTTTATGGCAATGTAACGTTACACAAATGTCCAAATAAGGAAGTTAGTGTTACCAAATTTCCTTTTTTGGACGTTTTGTGTAACGTAGATCTATCCTATAAAAGGAAAATTTCCTTATAAGGCGATTTTAAAAGTTCAAAATTTCAAAATTTCGAAATTTCAAAAAAAAATTACCATAAAAGGGAATTTTTTTTAAGATTTTTGAAATTTCGAAATTTCGAAATTTTGAATTTGAAAATCGCCTTTTAAGGAAATTTTCCTTTTATGTAAGGGATCTACGT